TTAAATTTTGTATTTATCACAAAATTTTGTGACTTTTGTGATATATTGTGAAATGCCATAAATCATCGTCCCTGCTTGGGTGTGCCATTTAATACTAACCGAAAACAAATCATACAGTAAACCAAGGGAAAGCATGTAAATGGTTACCTTCGATGGGATCTTGATGGCGGGGGTGTGGTCAACAATGTCGTATATTGTATAACACTTATAAGCTTCGTCATCGACAAATTAATATATAAAATGGACGTTAATAAATGGTGTTCTGTTGAAAAAAACATTTTTAAAATACGTTTGGACCGAACACGCAAAAAAACATACATATACCGAAAGGTCAGAGTTTACACCAGAACATATCGAAAAGGTATTGATTGCATACGAGAGAGGCAACAATCCACATATTAAAGAGCGCGAAGGTAATAAACCCATACCAAAGAAATTCTTCATTTGATTCCTGGACCACAGCCAATACTAATCATAATTATAAGTAACAGTGTTACATGGAAGTCATAAAAGTCCAACGAAGTTGTCCCCAAGTAAGCGTCATTATCAGGATAAATTTCCTGAACAATTTATAATGGTATGATTTATGAGGTTTAATTATTCTGCTTCATACTTTATTATTTTATTTTAATTAAAAAAAAAAATTTAAGGGATACGCAAACAAAATCTACCAATAATAATACCTGGTACGTATGTTCTGTTATAGAATATATTTAAAATGATATATTGTCTAATATATAAATGTTTAAACATTTGTTAGTTTAAGAGATGATACAGTTTATAGATATTATGAGGATACGGATATATTATCGGTCTATTTCGCAAAAGCGTCTTCCGGCGTTGTAAGCTATAGTGATGACGTAAATAAGGACATCCTTGTATCTTATGACCATGATGATAAGATAGTATCGGTTGAAATATATAGAGCGTCAGAGCTTTTACGATGCCACTTTTTTGATACCCAGGATACTATAAATAACAAACCGCCTCTCTTATTTATTCCTGTTTGTTATAAAGACTGTGATGAGTTGAAAGTTTACCTTGTTGATTCTATTTCATCCATCACCTTACAGAAAACTGAAGGGGAGGATTTGGAGGTGGGATTAGATAACGAAGGAAAAATTGTTGTCTTATTGTTTCATAAAGCTAGTAGCAGATTAGCAAAAACGTTATCAGAAGAAGAGAGAAGAAAACTTGCGGAAAAATCGAGGCTGAGATCATTAGAGATCGCAAAATGGTCTTATTTATTAGATGAATAGTAATTTCTAAATAGTAATTTCTAGATGAAGTATCAATAAAGTTTTACCAATCAAATCTCTCAAGGTAATGGTAAAAAAAATTTCATTGCATGATAACAATTTTTATCTAATGATTAAGAGGTTCAAATTCTTTCTAAACGAAGTTTACAGAAATACTTTCCTAATAGCATTTTGTTTATGGTGTAGAAATTCCTATTTTTGACGTTTAAAAAAAATATTAAAATATCCGATTGGTTTGTGTAATTTAAACAATTAAAATCAGTCTGTAATATATTTGTTAGGTTTTTTAAATTAATAGTACTTTTAATATCCTATGAGAAAATCATTCTTCTTTATTAATTCACGAGAGCATCATTATATTTGAAACGAGATTCTTAACAAGTCTTTGAAATAATAATTTCATTCGCAATTTATTCTATATGAAATTTAAATGTGCAACTTTGTGTGACGACTAATGTTTTGTGGATCATCGACAATATTTAAAAGAATGAGTAATCAATTGCTGTGCTGCCAATTACATTTATTTTGAACGTAATTTCTCTTTTTTTGCTTAGTGTTTGCTAATAAAAGAAAACAACAATCGTACCTGAAGCTAATCAGAGAAGATTCGAATATGATAGGAAATAATTATACAAATATATACAAACTCCTGATAAATATATTATAAGTACTCACGTGACTTTTACGTCATAATCAGCAACAGAAGTGAATTTTCAAGAATGCTAAACGGTATTTAAGAATTGACACGTCCATTAAAAGCGATCTCTTTCATAATTAATTGGATTTATACTAGCATTTTAACCTCATCTCGAATTACGAAAAAAAACGATTATAAATGTATCTAAAATCTTATTTAATTCTTAAAATTAAAAAAAAAACATATATAATGATAATTTTACAAAAATACAAAATACAAAATTGGAAAATAAGAATAATTTATATATAATAAAATTTACAAATTTCTATAACCTGTTTACAACACTTATGCTTCCGCTTTTAAAACATCTAGATCAAAATTGCTTCACTCATCTTTACTTTTGATTTACCCAACTTTTTACATATTATACACATCAAAGGCATGGCAACTATCATCAAAGGACTGAATGCCAGTATAAAGAAGGCGAGAACCAAAAACCAAATGACCGCACTATACGCGATATTAATAAATGAAAAGTATAAGAAGCACATCCAAGTATACTTATCTAAACAAATATGTATGCCGTATCGTATCATGCCATTCCCAGTATCAGTGTGAGAAGCGAGTTGAGATGAAGTGTGAAAAACTGGTGGATACATGTGACTAGGCTTATGTTTACGTGTGCACATTGTCGCCGTGATTAATTCAAGGCGACCAAGTGCTCTGAAAGACCAAGCGGTTCCAACGCAAAAGAAAAATCCAAGTGGTGGGAAAATTAATGAAATGATGGCACATACAAGCATCACACCACACCAAATATGAGCGAATAACGCAATAACTGGGGCAATGAACAAAAAGTATAAAAGACTTGTCCAAGCCATTGGATCCATAACGGGATTCCAATATTTTTCTAAACAAGTCCTTTGTTTTGGAACTTTACTTTGATCATTGTTTCCTTCAACGTAAACGATTGTGGATGCATTATGTTGGTAAGGTATTTGTTGCTGAGGTTGTGAATTGTTGTTATTATAATCGTAATGATGATGATTATTATAATTATATGTTGGTTTTGGAATTGAAAATTCTTGGTTTTGATTAAAATTGGATTTGTCGGTTTTAGTATAAACAGGTTTAACATCGTAAACTGCTTTTGAGGAAGGTTCACTTGATGCTTCATAAGGTGGTGGTGGTACTCCTATATTAATATGTAATTCATCCTGCGTTCCTGAACTAATTTCATTAGTTTTATTAGACATGATTATAATTTTATTTTTTTTTATTTTTTATTAAAGAAAAAAAAAATCTTTATGTTTTATAAGGCTATCAATGTCTTAAAATTATATGTTTTTTTTTTTGATTTTTTGATTTTTTGATTTTTTTTTCTCCTGGCGCTTCTTACCTCATATATATAATAAATTCTTTTTTAACCTTAAATATTACAGAATCTAAAAAGAATTTTCCAGCAGATTATCTTTTGATTTAGGAAATGAAAATTTTGTGTTGCCAAGGAAACTCTTGGTATTACTTGGCGCATAATTATTGATGTATCCTTTTAGGAAATGTCGCCAACTTATACCAGGTAATTGCTTAAATTCGGAATTTTCCATTAAATAATTACAATGCTGATTAATTAAATTCACAATCGTAAATTTGGTTAGAGAAAGCTTTAGTTAGAAATGATCTGACCTTGGCGAGAATTTAAATTTCGTGAGACAAAAAAAAACAAAAACTCGTTTTTCATAATGATAATGAGATTTTTTTTTTTGCGTTTCAAAATACACGATGAGTGGAATTAAAAAAAAAAAATAAATAAACTCTATTTTTTTTTTAAAAAAAAAACCTTAATATAAATAACAAAAGGTATTTACACATGATTTGGTCCATTCAAGCGATGTCTGTATCCAGAAATTAGAAGGTTTTTAATAAATGTTTAACTTAATTAAATAATAAGGTAAATAAATATATATGAATTATGGGTCTTGATAAACTTATCAAACGCGTCTATGTTTAATGAATGATTACAAAATCATACAAAATATTAAACGGAAAGTATTATTACAAATTCTATTGAATGTAAAACAAATGGTTCGTTGTATTGTTGAAGTTGGTTAATAACGATAATTTTTTTGAACATCTAAAGAAATGCTTTATTAAAAATAACGTAAATTACATTCTTTATACATTATCTGTTCCATAAACTAATTATATTTATGTAAATATTTATTATTGAATCCGCTAATTACAGTAAATCGGAATTAAGAATCAACTTTCTAAATATATTATTTTCTAATTGATGCGTGAAGGCACAGTAAAATAGAATGATTTTCTGTAAACATGATTTTTACCCTACTTGCTTAAAATAATAATTGACTCTATTAGTTTTTGAAACTACGAACACAAAAATCTTCACCCTTCAGTGGTTAATATGCTCAAATGTGATACCCTGAAGTGAGTTGCCTGTACTATTATCTATGTTTAACTTTGTGTTAATATATAGTTGTTCTTTATAGCTACTTCAATTCGTTCAATCACTTCATAATCAGACGCGAATCTAAAAAAGTTTCATCGTATAAGATTTAGTGCTAACAGAATTAGTCTCTGGGAGATTCGTATAGACATGCAATGTTGTGAATGATGTGTGCTTTTAACAACAAATGATAGCAATGTTTTAATATTGCTTTATCAATTAAGCTTGTGAGTTTTCACAAAAGCCTTCTCCTAACCATCCTCTTTCAGTAGTAAATTTATTATGGTAAATCCTTCCCAGATTCCATACTGACATACATCTTTTTGTTGCTTCACAAAAGGTTTTAAAATAATCCTTATTTGGTGAATAAAGAAGAATCGGTTGCCATAGTTTTTTGACCATCCATAACATACAAAACTTCTGAGTCATACATATATTCTATGAAGTATCATTCACATATGTACAAAATAGATGGTTGGTTTTTTAATAAAATGAATGTCCTCAAACAGCAGAATTTTGCATTATTATCAATTTTTATTTCCTTTAACGCGCCAACTTTTCGTTATGCTTATATAATTGAGGAATAATTTAAAATCTTCATGTCAACCTATCGCTATTGTTACAACGCAAAAAGCTAACCTTTGAAATCCCAGACGACCAAAAAAGGTTAATAGCATCACAACAGATGCTAAAAATGTTTTGAGTGAACTTTTTATTTCGTCCTATGTAATAATTAAAATGGCTTAAAAGTTTACATCTTATCTTTGCACGTATATTTACGTCATTAAATATTTCTTGTATTTATTTTCTGTCAACTTTCAATTACTATTATAATTACGTGAAAGCAAATAGAAAAGTTATATGAAAAATAGTTAATAAAAATTAAAGAAAGATAAAAATCCTGGAGAGAATACAAAATTATAGTCGTTTCGCTCGGCTCATTTTTAATCTTTGTGGTTGGCAATTTCTTAAGGCATTCCAAGAACATGGAACCCAAATTCTCATTCAACATTTGATCATTAGTAAGTTCCCTTAACAGAAATTCTGTAGCCCTGCTACGCGATTCTTTTATAGCCTTTTTGATCACTTTCCTCAACTTCGATTCACATTACGTATTTAATTCTATTTGCTGAGGAGGATTTGCTTGTTGGTAGATATCATCAAGCAAAGAAGTACTGAATATGTCGATCATCGTTTTCGAATGAGAGCCAGGATTAAGAAGTAAAATCGAAGATAATGACAATATCTCGTGAACGTTGGATTCAACAAAAAGACCCCCGGTTTTTGCGATCTTGATAGATTGATTTTGATATTGACGGAATAATCGAGAAACATTGATCTCTCTTATTTTAAGATCGTCGATAGAGTCCTCATCCTCGAAGGATAATTCATCTGGAATATCATTAATTATTATCGGGTAATCCTGCACCCCTTCTTCAATAAATGGATTACCCATCGATGGATTATCCATCGGCAATGAATGTAATTTTGGACTAATTAGCGTGGGAGAAGTGTACTCATCTTCTTGTTCTTGTCTTTTTGAAATTCTATTCTCATTGTATTCAACCCTTGGTCTCTTTCTTAGTGAGTAAGGCTTGCTATCGTTATCTGTAACTGACTCATCCTAGGTATATCAAATAAATTTGATGATGAATTAGATGGGTCGCTTTTTATCTAATGACGTTAACAATTTAATTCATACCAGCTCCTTATTAACATTTTTCATAATGTTTTCAACGCCTTCTTCAGTCCCCTTTGTCATAGCACGAGCTATTTTTACCTGTAATTCAGAACAATAATTAGCACACAATTTAACAATGTCGAAGTAAGTAAAATTATTGACCTGGTCACCAAAGTACTGAATCCTCATCACTATCAGTAATTTCTGCTTCCGATAATGTTACAACTTCATGTATGTTTTGGTTATGTTTTTTTTTAAGTAAACTTGTTGTTTTGATAAGGGTGGCATTAAGAATCGTAAAAAATTAAAAAAAAAGTATTTTTTTAAAAAAAAAAAGAAACCCGATCCTCCTTTTTTTCTAAAAAAAATTTGCTTTAAAAAAAATTTTGGTCCTCTTTAAGATAAATTTGTTTCTTCTAAAAAGAAAGAAAAAAAAAAAATTCGTTTGTTCCCTCTTGGAAAAAAATTCATTTGTTCCCTCCTGGAAAAAAAATTTCGTTTGTTCCCTCCTGACAAAAAAAATTCGTTCGTTCCCTCCTGAAAAAAAAAATTCGTTTGTTCCCTCCTAAAAAAAAAAAAATTCGGTCTTTTCCTTTTAAATCAGTTAATTATACTAAAAAAAGGAAATGATCTTAGCGGCAAATTTTGGATGTACTGTACATATTAAAGAATACAAATTTCAATGCTTGATAACTTTTAATCGAATAAATGAATCGGAAAAACAAATCCATTTTTTTGTAGCTCAGGTTATGTGCTTTAGAAAAATGGTAAGAAACTTTACAATTATAAATTAGTACAATTTGTATAAGATCTCAAAGTTAATGTGTAGGATCTATAAATCACGAGATGGTCGGCCAATCATATTTTCTGTAAAAACTAATTATATCTCCTATTTTTTCTGATGCCGAGCTCGGCAAAATTGCGCAGAAATATCCGGTTAAATTTATCTCCCGAAATCATGATAGTAGAGTCTGGACTGCTTGTCTAATCACTTTACTAAGAAAAAAGTAAATTTGATTAATATAAAATGAAAAATTTTTATTTTGTATGATATCAGTTGTCACATGCGCAGTAAAGATGCATTCTCTTCATCTATAGGATCGATTAAATATTTTTCTGATGTGCATTACTAACAAACTTTTCATTGATAAAATTTAGCACCTGCTGTATTATTAAATTTAATTATTTCTTACAAATTATACTAGAAGCGTCCAAACCAAAATGGACAACTTCTGTGACAATTGTGCGTTTTATTCACAAGTTTTTTAAACATAGGAGTAGCAAGAGTATCACGTTTGAATTTCATTTTTGTTGATGAGGAACTCGGATTACAAAGTTTATCAAAGAAAATGTTAAATGATTCTTGAAAAACCTTTCGTATTTTTAGAAGAATTTCTAAGTCATCAATAAAATTTGATACCTCTCTCAAAGAAGCAGGAATTGTCACTTTTCCTATATGAATCATGATGTACATTCCCTGGACAAGATCCATCATATAGAATTCAACCGTATAATCTATAAAGTAAATACTATCAAGTTACACGCAAAATCGTGGGAAAAAAAAGCAACTACTATAATGTTCCTTACCTACGCATTGGAACCCTAATATTTTTATCTCAGCGCCTAATTCTATAGAAGAATCAAGACAGTCTTTCATAAAGACTCCAACACGAATCAAATCATTGCAATTTTTGTAAACATTGTTTTTTTCTGAGGGCGGACTAACCTCACCCACGAATATGATACTGTTCAATTGTAGCTGGTGGATTATTGAGGCAGTAAAATCGGGCTGTTTGCTTCTTCTCCCTTGTGGCTTTCTTGCTTTGCTTTCGTTAATTTCTGCATTCGGCCATTCCACAAAATGCTTATCTGGATCATGTAACATTTCTCTCATAATGTGGTCGAGGTAATTTGTAATCAGAGTCGTTTCGCTCGGCTCATTTTTAATCTTTGTGGTTGGCAATTTCTTAAGGCATTCCAAGAACATGGAACCCAAATTCTCATTCAACATTTGATCATTAGTAAGTTCCCTTAACAGAAATTCTGTAGCCCTGCTACGCGATTCTTTTATAGCCTTTTTGATCACTTTCCTCAACTTCGATTCACATTACGTATTTAATTCTATTTGCTGAGGAGGATTTGCTTGTTGGTAGATATCATCAAGCAAAGAAGTACTGAATATGTCGATCATCGTTTTCGAATGAGAGCCAGGATTAAGAAGTAAAATCGAAGATAATGACAATATCTCGTGAACGTTGGATTCAACAAAAAGACCCCCGGTTTTTGCGATCTTGATAGATTGATTTTGATATTGACGGAATAATCGAGAAACATTGATCTCTCTTATTTTAAGATCGTCGATAGAGTCCTCATCCTCGAAGGATAATTCATCTGGAATATCATTAATTATTATCGGGTAATCCTGCACCCCTTCTTCAATAAATGGATTACCCATCGATGGATTATCCATCGGCAATGAATGTAATTTTGGACTAATTAGCGTGGGAGAAGTGTACTCATCTTCTTGTTCTTGTCTTTTTGAAATTCTATTCTCATTGTATTCAACCCTTGGTCTCTTTCTTAGTGAGTAAGGCTTGCTATCGTTATCTGTAACTGACTCATCCTAGGTATATCAAATAAATTTGATGATGAATTAGATGGGTCGCTTTTTATCTAATGACGTTAACAATTTAATTCATACCAGCTCCTTATTAACATTTTTCATAATGTTTTCAACGCCTTCTTCAGTCCCCTTTGTCATAGCACGAGCTATTTTTACCTGTAATTCAGAACAATAATTAGCACACAATTTAACAATGTCGAAGTAAGTAAAATTATTGACCTGGTCCAACTTTAGTTGACTTTTTTCTTTGGCATGGTCTATATCCAGAGATTCACGTTCAACTTCATTCCAGAATCTATCGATATCCACGTTCTTGTTTCGATGGTTCTATAGGATTAATATAATTTGTTAGCATCTTGTCCTTACTGGAAAAGCAGACAATAACGGGGCCTTAAGATAGGAAAACTGCTGGCAAAGCAGACCACAACGGGATCTAATGAACGCCGTAAGGTCAGGTGGGACGCAGGCACCCGCCATAGTTGTGTGAGTGTTACCCCTTCTCAGGACTGCTGGAGGCCCCCACCTCTACAAAAGTTGTAGACCACAACGGGATCTAACGAACGCCATAAAGTGAGCGGGACGCACGCGCTCACCGTAGTCGTGGAAGTATGTTCCCCTTCTCGGGACTTAACAGGGTCCTCCATACTGCCTGCCAGTGATCAAAATGTAAATGATACTCGCCTCAAAAACATCAAGCAAATGTTGAGCTTTTTGTTTCCTTTGATTCGACCCATTTTCCACCAGGTAATTCAAGCATTTGTGGAGTCTTCGTGCCTCTAGGCGAAAATTGTTTGTAAAGTCATCTCGGTTTTTACGATCCTTGTAGTAATCGAGAAATCGGTATTTTTCAGGTGTCGTTGTCTCAAAATATTCATCAACAGAATACTTCTCCATTAATCATGAATTTACGCGTCTTGGGCACAAAAGGTTAATTTAGATGATTAGGTAATTCAGGTAAATAAAAATAAATTTGATTACTTTATATTTTTTTGTTTTCATTAAAAATCAAATTGTTAAGAGATTCAAGTATTATAAACACGTATCGGTATTAATAAATAAGATAATGACAGTCAAATTTCGCACGTGATGAACAATAAATTAAGGGAAAATTTAACCTAGACTCCGGGTTTAGGTTATTATCCTAGACCCCATGCATAAATAAATATTTTTAAAGTACTTATCACGTGATAAGTACAGTTGCGGTCTAGGATAATATCCTGAACCCGGGGTACATTTTAAGGATGCCCATAAATTAATTCTTTATTATTAAACATATAACTTAATAACTATTTATTGAATTATACAAAATAAGTTAAAAATAATATTACAAAAATAATAATATACACATTTTTTTTTTTTATTAATTAATTTAAAAACACATAAATTTACTTAAAAATTTATTTTTCTTTCCACCTTGAAGTTCTTCGAATTGATTTTCAAGATTGGCATAAGCAACTTCAACATTCTTTTTGGCTAATTTTTCTTTTTCTAAACTAGTTTCAATCTCTTCTTTTTCTTTTTGTATAGACATTAACTGTTCATGCTGATCTGTCTTTTCTTCTAATTTAACTCTCAAATCTTCGATTTCGTTTAGAAGGTCATCCTTTTCTCGTAGTAATTTTTCTAATTTTTGTTTTAATCCTTTCATTTCAACTTCGTCATCTTTTACTAATCCTTCTAAATTGTCTATTAATTTGGATTTTTCTTCATTCATCTTTTCTAATTTGGAAATTTCCTGGTTCAATTCTCTAATTTCAGCTTCATGTTTGTATATTATATTATCATCTGACGTTCTTTGCTTGAGTTCGATAATCTCTTCTTGAAGCGATTTAATAAGATTATCCTGCTGTGAAATCTTGGATCCGAATTCAGACGTTTCCAATGCTGGTATTGACCTTGTATTCTGAGTTTCATCGGCTTTTAATTTATCACTTGATAATTTCTTGGACTCTTCAAGAGCGATTTCTAAATTTGATATTCGTTGTTTATATTCTGCTGAAAGTTCTTCCGCATCTTCATATTTTCTAGCAATCTCTATTATTTCATCGCTCATTAAACCAATTTCTTTCTGTAATTTTTGCACCTGTTGTTCAAGAGTCTCTTTGTCACTTAAGTGTCCATTGCTCATTAAATCAATTTCTTTCTGTAATTTTTGCACCTGTTGTTCAAGAGCTTCTTTGTCACTTAAGTATTCATTGCTCATTAATCCAATTTCTTTCTGTAATTTTTGCATCTGGTTTTCAAGATTTTCTTTGTCACTTAAGTGTTCATTCTTTTCGATTTCAAGCTGGTTGTTTAGTTCTTCCAAAATATTTAGACTTTCTTCGCTTTGCCTAGCAGATTCATTATGTACGTCCTTTATTTCATTATGTAATCTCATGCACTGATCATTAAGTGATTCGTTAGTGCGACTAAGTTCCGATATTTCTTTCTCCCGAAGATCACGTGCATCTTTCATATCCTTCAGTTGAGATTCCAAATTTTGGATGAATTCAGCCTGCTTATTCTCAGTAACTTTGACTTTCTCGAGTAGCGCATTGGTGCTATTTAGCGTTTCTTTTAATTCCGCCATCTTTTCTTCTTTTTCTTTCAGTTCAGAATCTAATTCATGAACTAAAGACTTTTGCGCTTCTTCGGCGGATCTCGTCTCCCTTAATTCTTCGGTTAATTTATCAATATTCTCATTTAGCTTAGAAACCTCTGATAAGTTCGTTTCATTAATTTCATCAATTCTCTTTTTCCAATTCTTTAACGAGTTCAACTTGTTTGGCTGCATATTGCTGTGCTGATTCAAAATCTGCAGGTGATGGACTTTGCTCCAACTTAGCTTCGATCTCTGCAATCTTGTCTCGAAGTGATTTCACATGTTCAGATTCAGAAGTTTTGGATAATTCTGCATCAGATAATTTATCATTAATCTTTTTAATGGTGGTTTCCAGTTCTTTAATGTGATTTTCTTTAGTGAATATTAATTCATGTTTTTCCATAAGATGAGTGTTAGATTCCTTCAATGTAGATTTAAGTTCATCGATCATTCCAACATATCTTTCATCTGAAATCTTTGCTTCACCAAGTTGAGTTTCTAAATCAGAAATCTTTTCTTCTAATGATTTTATTGTATCCTGATAATTCTGAGATGTTCTCGTTATGTCATTGAGTTCATTATTCAATTTCGTTATTGTTGATTCAAGAGCTCGAATTGCTTCCTTTTGTTGACCTTCCTGTTCTTCAATTAATTTTGATAATTCATCAGCGCGTTCATGGTACTGATTACGCTCTTTTTCAGTTGATATTAAAAGACTTTCAAGTTCTGACAATAATTCATTTCGTGATTCCATCTCTAGTTTAGTGTCGGATAATTCATTTCGTAGTTTAGAAAGTGTCTCATTTTCTTTGGAATTCAACACTTCGATTTCAGACTGGAGTGTGGAAATTACAGATTCGGACTTATTTAATTTGGATTCGAGTTCAGCGATTGTTTGTTTATTCATAATTTCTGATTCTTTCGAAACCTTCAATGCTGATGTTAAATTTGTAAATTCACTATCGAACTGTGTCCCTTGTTCCGATAACTGAGCTTCTAATGTTACGATTCGTTCTTGTTGCGCGACTTCCAGGTTACGTATGCGCTCCAATTCCTGTTGCACTTTTGAACTCGAACCTTCTAATATACATAATTGCTCAAGTGCATGAGCTTCTTTCTCTTTTACGTCTATTAATTCTTTTTTAACGCTTTCAAATTCGTTTTCCAGCAACTTATTAGTTTCTCTGATGCTTTCGGCACTTTCCAAATGTAATTCGAGCTCTTTTATTCTCTTTCGCATATCCTCATCCTTATTCCTAAAGTCCGATAATTGTTTTGACAGGGATGCTAGCTCTGTTTCTTTGTTTTTGAGGTTCTTTTGTAATAAGTCTTTATCTTCCAACTCTTGTTTCAATGTATCAATCAGATCATCCTTATTTTTAATATCTAATTTAAGTGATGAAACCTGAGATTGTAAGGTGTTTATTGAATCCTGATCAACATCCGAACTAATGCTATCAGAAGTATCAATATTATTTTGCACGGAATCAATGGATTTTGGAGAAGAAGTTTGTTGTGATCCTTTGTCTTTCATCTTTAATTGAGCCTCGAGATGTCTCACGGTATCTTGTAATACCATTACATTTTCGTCAACGTTTTGTTCAAGCTTATCAGATGAGGTTTCATCACTTGCATCTGTTGATGTTGCGGTAAGTTTATTCTTCTCTTGAATGACGAGTTTATGCGCCTCTTTAACCTCTCGAAGCTCACTTTCAAGTCGTTTGATTATATTTACATGATCCGCGTTGGAAACGACTTCCGCTTGAAGTTTAGCCACGCGTTCGCGCAGTATTATTGCTTCTTCATTTTCTTTAACAGGGGTTGCTACAGCCATTTGGCTACGAAGATCACGAATATTTGATTCTAACCTTTCAATCTCTTCAACCTTTTTATTATTTTCAATTTCACGTTCTGCGATGTTTTGTAAAAGTTGATTTTGTTTCTTTGTAAGTTGTTCAACCTCCTTTTGGAGTTGTTGATTTATTTCATCCGTTGTTTCGACTTCTGATATCGACTTATCCTTATCATCACGTCTTTGAAGTTCCTCTCGGAGCTCATCTACCAATTGTAAAGTTTCTTGATAATCTATTTCTAGAAGATCCAATTCATGCCTAACCGCGTCCAAACTTTGTTGCTTATCCTTATGGAAAGATTCGAATAATTTTAATTCAAATTGGAGCTTCTCAACAATTGCAGTATGGGCGAGGTCACGCCTTTCTGAACCTTTAAGGTCAATTGATAAAGATTTCGCTTTTCGATGTATACTAAACTTTGATAAAACATTAGCGTTGGAAGGTTCTTTAAAGTAATATTCATTTTGTGGCGTGGCGGGTGTCATCGGAGTCATGGGTGTTGATGAAAATTCCGAATTATTATCATGCGACAATTGTAATTCTTGAATTCGTAAGACGCTATTCTCATATTTCGACTTCGTATCGTCAAGTTCGGTTTCTGTCTTTCGAAGTTTGGCTTCAAGAGTTTTGATTGTTGATAGATATTGTTCACTTGTGCCATTTGATTTGACGTCTTTGAGGGTTTTCTGTAGTTCTTTGACTTCATTAATATTGGCTTTATTCTTTTCTCGCTCAAGGTTCAAATCAGCAAGAGCTTTTTGATATGATGATTGTAAATCCGTTAATTTCGATTCAAGATCACTGTTTGCAGTTGAACTTTCGGAAGTTGAATCTTGTTTCCCATTGAATTTCTTTAACTCACCCTCAAGCAGATTAAGTTTTACATCAAGAACACTAATTCGTTTATCTCGGTTATCGATTTTGTTCAAAAGTTCTTGCCTTTCTTGATTCACGTCAGCTTGTTTTAATTTTTCCTCTAATTCTTTGAACGCAACCTCACGTTCTGTCAATCGTTCTTCGAGCATTTTCACGGTTTCACTAATAAATTTCTCTGGGTGTTCGTCACTCGTGGTCGCTAATTTTGTCTCAATATTATGATTTTCTAATTTTGATTCGAGCTCTTTAATGTATTTTTGCAAGCTGGAATTAAGACTCTTTGTTTGTTCTTGATTTTTTGTTAGGGTGATGAGCTTTTCATCTTTAGCCTTCAAATTAGCTTCGGAATGTGATAGTGCCGCAGCTGTTATGGCCAATTTACTTTCAAGCGATGATATGGATTTTTCATACTCTTCAATTACGGGTTCAGCGCCTTTCATGAAATTCTTTACATTTCCTGCTTTAAGATTATTTAATTCATCGTAGTTGTCTTGATGCATCGCAAGTTCGGCTGAAGTTTTTGCATGTCTTTTTGAAAGTTCGGCGTATGATTGTTTAAGTTGAAACAATTGTTCTTCCAATATCTCCACGTCTCTGTGATTTTGCGCTGGGTGATTTCCATGTGAAAAGGTGGTAAGTGGTGACGGTGGACGACGCGTTGGAGTGTTTCGCCCAGGTATACCCGAAGGAGATGTCGGTGTATTTCTTCCGGGGATTCCGGTAGGTGTTTTTCTCCCTGGAATTCCTGAGGAGATTCCCGATGTTGGCGTATTTCTACCAGGAATTCCTGAAGGTACACTGGACTTTGTAGGAGTGTTTCTTCCGGGAATTCCGGTAGGAATCGATGAAGCTGATGGTGTAGTCCTTCCTGTAATTCCTGGTGTGATTCTACCCGTTGATGATGTTGGTGTGCTTCGTCCAGGAATACCTGAAATTGTTGGGGTTACTCTTCCACCAATTCCCGTTGGTAATGAAGAATAATGTCCTGCGGTTGGTGATTTGATTCTACTACTGGGCGTCTCTCTTCCTCCGATAGGTGTAACTCTACCAGGAGATATCGTTCCGTTAGAAATTCCATTATTTGTATTTGTATTGGCAAGAGCGACTTTTAAATTTGTTACGTCACTACGAAGTTTGATTACAAGGTTTTGTAAGTGTCCTATGTCATTCCAACCGGTTTCTTCCTGATTAATGGCAGCAACATTTTTAATATTACGAGCCCTATTAGCATATTTAAGGGTATTGACGGTTTCGTTAAGATTATATTCTGCGGGAGAAACACATGCGATCATTAATGTTTGTGCGTTTCCTCCAAGAGAATCTTGTAATAACCGAGTAAGCTTAGAATCTCTATAAGGAATGTGAGTTGTATGTTTTGCTTTTGTTGGATCTCCTAAAGCTGAAATTACATTTCCCAACGCCAGTAAACCTGAATTGATTGATATTCCCTCCTTTGCTCGATCACCACTTGCCGCCGTACGTTTTAACTGAATAGAAAACGGAATTTTTTTTTTTTTTGAAAATTTGAAGTTTTTAGAGATTTATCGAATTCAAGAGATTAAAATGCGAATACAATGATTCAAATGAGAAATCGAAGATATTTACCCTCTCACTACCAGCCAAATCTACGAAATGAAATTTACTCGTTATAGTAACCCAATCACCATCATCAGCATGGTCTAATCTCGAGTTTGCTCTTGAACCTACCAACTTTGATGATGGTGTGGTTGGTCTTGAACCAGGAGGTGGGGACAAATAACCATTAGGTCCATTATAAGAAACCAACTTTTGTTGTGACATAGTGACGGAGAAAATAGCATGTGATCTAGAAGATTTCGAGTTCATATCTGTGGCACCGACTTGTCGATTCATAGATCCTTGTGCCAAATATCTACAATATATGTTGATTTATTGATTAAAAAAACGAGGTAGAAGGGGTATCATGAAAAAGAATTTTGTACTTACGCCATAACTTCATTCACATTATTAACCTGAACTTCCTGTAAACCACTCCAATAAATATTTCCTTTTGAATCTTCACGGATCATGACCTGAGGTCTACATTCACCTTCACCCTCACCAAGTAAATCAATTAAATCTTCATTATAAATTTCTATAAACGATACCGTAATTGAAAATTTTCGATTCAGGTATATTGATGAATTGTTCATTATATTAAATAAAGTTGACATTGCACGAGGAATTATTCCTTTGAATTGAAGCGGGGTTGATGGATTATCAGCTGTGCCCATCGTGTACGTCTTTCCTGAAGATGTTTGACCGTATGCTAAAATCGTTACATTGTATCCTAATAGGGGAAAGGAAATGGGTTAGGGCATGAAACGATGACGTCAAAACGAAAACACGGACGCAGCCCGCCGATATTTTATCACCTCAAAGACTCTTTTTTTAAAAAAGGAGTGAATCTTGGTCAATCTCGATCAGCTGCGCCACAGCAACACGATACCTTCTAAGAATTTATCCACCAAATTTTCGACAGCCCTTTCGTAGACTTCTTGTTGAGTGGTTTCGGGAGGAAACACATGATCGAAATGGAAGATTTGCCTTTTATCACCTTCAACAATAAGTTGGTTTAGGGCATTTGATGGAGTGGTGAGGATCTGACGTTGAAATCTTGTAGGTAATTTTTCCAAGTCTTCCTCCGTAAGTGGTTTTATTCGAAGTGCTGTTTTTTTTTTTTATTTGTTTTTTTTTTTTGTTTTATTTTATTTTATTTTTTTAAGAAAAAAAAGTTATCATCATTATTTTATGGACATAGGAAGCTCAATTATTCGTGATGTTGATAATTTGTTGATAATTAAGTCAATGAGAGAATTTTGCCTACCAACTTTTACCGAAGTTGTTCCTCCTTCGGTAGATGCCATTATATTTTAACTTAATAAAAAAATTCAAATCCGTCTAAATTAAATAAATTCTACGAATTCCCTCTTAATTTTATTATTATTATTATTATTATTATTAAGTATGAAGGTTGTTCGTTGGAGCTTAAAAAATATAAAAATATAAATATTTTTTTTTAATTTTTTTTCAAGAAAAAATAATAATAATAAACCAAAAATTTATGTCCAGCCCGCTGGTCGATTAAAAAAAAGGGGGAAATCTGATAAATTAAATACAAAAGGTTTTAATCTAGTGAAAAAAAATGAAGACTCATCGATTGAACGATTCATTCACGAAGAATTCTTTCAAGATCGAATGAAGATAAGAAGGAAGAAGGTTTAAAAAAAAAAAAAAAAAAAAAAGAGGGAATAATTAAAATCTTTTTTTTTTAATAAAATTAAATTAAATTACATAATAGATCGATAAATGGAAATAGAGGTTACTATAGGTACCCGTTTAAGGAATGAGTTTTGAAGTTCTTTGTTTATTTTTTTTTTTTTTTTTTGCATTTTGCATTTTGCATTTTTCCTATATTTTTTTTAAAAAATGCATTCTTTTGAAGTCCATTGTTAAAGAATTAAAATCAAGTCAAAAACTTGTAAAAGGAAATTATATTATTTCTTTGTACTTCATTGCTGGTTTTTTTGCCGAGGGGTTACCCGAAAAAAAAAAAATTAAATAAATAAATCTAAAATCTGATAATCGATAACTGCCATATCCCATTTTTTTTTTTATTTTTTTATTGTACCTTATGTATCACGTTGTGGTGGGCAATTAACTCATGGAAATTCAGCTCATGTGATTCGTTGAACTAAATCAGTTCTTATTATATGCAAAAAGGTGGGCGTTCTTTTAGGAATTGAAGAGAGATAAAATCCTCTGTGTAAGGTCATTTGATTGTTATGTTAATCGCCCAGTCTCTTGGGGGGTTTTTTCATGTAAGTCACGAGAAAGATTTCAATCCTTTGGAAGAAAGAAGTGATTGCTGTAGGAGGGAATTGAAGATTGTGAAGATGTGTTACTGACCGCGCACTTCTGCATTTTTCCACCTTGCATTGGATTACTGCAAATTTCATGAGAAGATTTGATCATTAGAAAGCTTATTATTTTTTTTAAAAAAAAAAATGCACGTCCCTGCTTCATGTGAAGTGAAAAGATTAAAAAAAAAAAACCCATTCAGGTTCTTACGTGCATGATGACGATATGCGCAGCAAAAAGACAACGCGAATTGTTACCTTTTTCTCCGTTTTTTTTTTAAAGGATTCGAGTGTGTATGATTCACATGTTACATGAGAAAACCCCCCCTTGGCTTTTAACTAAAATAGTTCAAACATCTTTATTTCATTTGCCCGCAACAAGAAAATTTTTCAAAACGTAATCCCACCCAAAAATGGGAGGTATTTGTTTTATCGGAACTTGTAAAAAGTTTAGGTTTTCGAATGCCTAAAAGAAATCTAGGTCTATTCTGATTTTAATTCAACAATGGGACGTACCAAATAAAACGGCACATCATGTAAACCTTTTTTATTTTTTTTATTCTCGAAATATACATCATCTCATGCTCGGCTGAAACTTTATCACGACAACCCCGTCCAAACAATTCATATGAAAAGACGGGAAAAATGCCAATCCTTTGGATCCAATACTATCTCGACTTTGTTTGAACAACATTGATCAAGAATATCCGCAACTCTTAGCATTTAGTCATATTGGCACAAGTAAGGTTGTCGCCTTATGCGAACATAGGAATGTCGTAATGTCGTAAGCAAATCTGATTTTTTAAAAAAATGTCAAGGTTTTTGGCTAAATTTTTTTTTAAAAAAAAAAGAGTTTCGGGATGCAATGAATGCTTTTGGCTAAAAAAACATGGCGCTTTTTTTTTGCCAAAAAAAAAATCATAGTAGTAAATAAGATCTTTTGTTTTTTTTTTTCCTGAAAAGTTTCCTGTCCTGAAAAGGTGTCCCATTGACATTTGTTCATTCAGTTTCGAGTAAGGAATCTATTAACCAAAACAAGTCCATCAGAATTACATGGTGCAGAAAATTTCGGAATTTTTTAGACGTATCAAGTGAAAAATTTTAGTGAAGATTAAATAAATCCTTAAAAAAAAATAAATTAAAAAAGAATGGGGTGACAATTAAAAATTGAATCATAATTTTCAAAGTTCAAACAAGATTTACCCGTTGATAAAAAATAAAAAATTCAGGCTCTGATTTAATATAGGCAATCATCTAATATCCGGGGGTATTTAAAAATGGTACATACCCGCTCGGAACAGGATAAATATGCTCGTTCCGAAACCTATTTTAACCTGAAACTTAAATTCAGCCCAAGTTTTTTTTTTGATTTTTTGCTTTATTGAGTTTAGGAAAACTTTTTGGTAAGTTTGACCAAAAATATGTTAATAGTTTAGTCCAAAAAAAAATTTTTTAGTTTAGGTAGTTTATACCTAAAAAAAATCTCTTAATTTTATCATTTTTAAAAAAAGAAAACCACTTCTCTAAAAGATTCAAATTTTTAAAGGTAATGAAACAATTGATATATTTATTTATTTTAATTACACTAAATTTAGCCTTATCATCAAGGTTTGACAGATCATCTTCAGGGATGATTGCCGAAAAAGTTTTTTGAGACACCAAAAACCCATCAAAATTTTACTTTATCCGTGTATAACGTCTAATATTGTTTTCTTGATTGCCGAAATAGAAAGCTAAAGTCGAATTTTTATCAGGATTTTTATTTACAACAGATTCTCAATTTTTACAATCTAAATATATTAATAAATTTTAATTATTACGAAAGTTAATGTTCCGCAGTCCCTTCCCCTCCCGTTTCAACCGGTGGTAAATTTCTACTCCAAGGGTCGCAATGTCCATGTTGTTCTGGGACATGCGTACTCGGAAAGTAAAAGAATGCTATAGCTATCAACACATATGATATCTAAGAAAAATAAAGATATTAATTAAAAAAATCCTTAAATCCCCTTATTATTTCTTATAAATAATAATACTTACTATAAGCATATACCCTTCTAACCAGTTTGCTTTGTTATCCTATTTATTGATCAGGATATTAAAAATGTTATTTTTAGATTCGTAAAAATTTAATAATGATGATGATTGATACATACAGCAACCAGATAATTCACAATCAATACAGCACAAGCCAAAACAGATATTTCCAAAGCGTTAAAGTCCAATGTTAATGGTTTTTCATAAATCCATCCAACTGACACCAAGATTGGTGTTATCAACAGTGCCATTTGCTTTTTTAAAAATTTATGTATTTCATTAAAATGTTGGAATAAAAAAAAAAAAATCACTTGTATTATGAAGTTACTTACTACAGATGTATTAAGGATCAAACTAATGGCTGTATCTACTTTATCTTCGGCTGCCTCTGCGATAGCCTGATAATGTTCAATGAAATTTGATACAACTATAATAATAAAATGGGGTTTCAAACATTTTTTTTTTAAAAAAAAAGAAAATAAATAAAAATATTTGAAAATTTTTAGGTACCACAAAGAGGTAAAAGTACTATTCCAATGAAACCAGTTCCGAGTCGAAAGTCATGTGCAATCTGTTCAATGCTGTTAACCAGGGTTTTTGCACAGATTGAGATTCCAGCTACCGATCCCACAATTCTTTTAAAAATAATAATATTCCATTAGAACGGGCGATAGTTGGAAATTACGGAGAAGGAATGAACTTACAAAAATATATCAAACAACCAATTATACTTCTTATGAAGATGGGATAATTCCTTAACGTCTACCACCTAATAATAAAAAAAAAAACATGTCAAATTTTATTCGTTTCATTTCTTTCACACTCATTTCGTTATTAAACTTACCTCGTTTTTGTGAGTTTTCAATTGAAAAACCAATAATCCTATATAAACCATCATTAGTATGATGGCCGTGGCGTGACTGATGTTTTGTAGATTGCAATCAATTAGATTGTTTTCTCCCGGTAAATCAAGGGGAGTCGCGGCGATTTTAAATGCCGCAGGAGTGATTAATGCGAGAACGGCCAAGGCCAAAATGGACGAAGACGTGTCCACAAAGGATTCAATTTCAATATTTGTATGCAAGTGCTTTCCTTCACGAACACGACGGGCCGTGGGCCAAGAACCTGCAACGAATGCGATGCCTAGAACCTGGTAAAGTGACAAGGTTAGATGTGTCGAAAACAAAAAAAAAAAAACCACCTTTGAAAAAACCATAATTTATTATACCAGTGTGATATTACAAAGAATTGATCCTAATACAGCGGATCGTACAATCGCAAATTGATTGTCCATTAACGCATAAGATTCTATAACCAGTTCTACAAAGTTTCCTGACAATGCGTGAAGAACTGATGCATATGCCTATTAAATAAATTTATTCATTCGTACATTTATTTTTTTTTTTTAAAAAAAAAAAAACTTTATCATCGAAAATTTATTTACCAGTCCCATTCTCGCCGATAAATCTTCTACACCAATAGTCATGAGATTAGACAGAGGAATAATGGCTATAAAACTGACGAAAAAGGTAATCAATTTGTCGACATTAAAATGTGGTAATACAATTGCCGGGACCAAAAAAATGAGCAACAAATTTGCTCTTCCTTTCTTTAGTATGGAAACTATGAATTCTCTCCATGATTTTGGATGTAGTATGTGACGTTTTTTGAATGTTTCTTCGTCATGATGATGATGTTCGGCGGATTCGATATCTAAATTTTGGGTGCCGGAAGATTCAACCTGCTATATTAAATAAGCAATTAACTTAGGTATCCGCAGCAAACCGAACTAATAAATACTCACATCGACAGTAGTTCTTAATTCACTCATCGCTTTCAATAAAATGCAGAATCAAAAGGATATGTTGCTTACCTCAAATTCCTCATATATATATACTTTTTATACCCAATAATCACAGAAATCCCGCTAAGGCTTTCGAGTTTAGGGCTTAGTAAGAAATTATTTTTAGTAATGATTGATTTGGTTATACATTAGTCCGCAATGATTATCATGCAGATAAAAAAAAAAAATCCCTGAAACAATCCTTTTTTAAACTTTAAATTCGTTAATCAATTTTTAATGATGCCTCGTCAAAGAATTCATCATCGAACGAAAAGATTCAAAAATCAAAGTTCAATTAATTCCTCGCAAATTAATCCAATTGATTCTTCGGTTTCTTCACCGAAACCTAAATCAAGCGAGACCCCAAAAGAAATTGCTGGTTACTATTATGATCATGAAAAAAATAGGTATTTTAAAATAATGCCAAATAAAACGGTTGGATCAAGTCACCCTTTTAGCGCTGATTCTATTGGGACAAAGAAAAAAGCTGAAGAGGTGAAAAATTATGTCTGATTACCTTTAAACCCTATTTATTTATTTCTTTAATTTATTAAAAAAAAAAATGGTTTACCTAAAAGAAAGCCAGAGAATATCCAATGCGTCGAAAATTTTCAAGCGCAATGTCTCTTCTTTTGGATCGAGAAATAAACCCCATTAAACCTATTCATGTATCAAAAAGGTTAAGTTCAACAAGTAAATTATATTCGTATCCATTACTTTCTCTAAATAACAAATATTGTTAATTGATTATAACCTCAGTGAAAATCGACAAATTTTAGTAAAGTCTTTACGTCATATCGGTTCGATTGCCATGGAACGTTCGTTTATAAAGGATTTTCGGGTATATTATTTAGAACTTTAGATCACATAACATGCACAAAACGATCCAATGATGTTTGATTTATCGGTATATTTTGATATTTAAGATCCATCCATCTATGAATAAAATATTTCATGGGGATACATCTGGAATCATAAGGTTCGTAAAAGCGTAAATTATACACTATGATTGATTGGTTAATTTTTGTTCACTTAACATCTAGTCAGATGAAATTCAAGTGCACATCCGAATCATGCGTGGAAGATTATAATATACAAATGTTCAAATTTTCCTCAGAGGTTTTATATCCTTTTTTTTTTCAAGTTAACGGTTTTTCTTTTAAAAAGAAATTTAAACTAAATGATATTGATGTTTGTTTAGATCACATCAATGCGCTTGGAAAGTACGAATTTATTGATGTAAGTATGCAGTTTTATTAAAAAATTAATGAGAAATTATCATCATAATTTTATTTAAATTTATAGAGGCACTTCACTGGGTGATCCAGTTACCTCGGGCATTATGTTTGTTGCAAAATTATGTTCAGAAATTGATCCTTATGGCATGGGTAGGAGGTCTCTTCATACGCGTTTCGTTTTTGGATCACATTATAACATTTTGACCAAAAATTTTCATCAATAATAGAACCAAAGTATGTTTATCATAGTGGTTCAACGATTTGGGCATCATCATTTTCAGAGATTGACTCTTCTATAGCAGTGGGTAATTGAAAATTAAAATGACAGTCACTTCAATCTTTTGGATTTTAATATTCAAAAATTTAAAATTCAATTTAAATACAAGGCTCATCACGAAATTTGTCTGTGATACAAGGATGGCAAGAAACGCCATTGATTAGTAATTTTAAGACATATAGTGATGTTTTCGCTTTGGATTTTGATCGTTATCAGGTAAGGTTATTTATGAATTAGCAGTCGATTTCATTCAAAATAATATCTAATTTTTTTTTCAATGGGTCATGCGCGTTGGAAGCCGAATGTAGTTTTCACAGGTTGTAGAGACGGTAGATTACGGATATTTGATTTACGTTCAAATTCACGTCATGGGATTGGACCGATGATTGACCAAAAATCTCCTATTTGTCATTTAAAACAAATCGGCGCGTGGTATATTTTATCAGATGGAATGAATGGATCCGTACGTGTCAAGTTAATTATTTTTGTCATATCAATCCTTTTATACTCTAAAGGTTTGGTTTCGATCGTTTTTGTAGGTTTCCTTGTGGGATATTCGAAATGTAAAGGGGGATTATGATAATTCTTACGATCATAAACCAGTTATAGAATTTGAGAGAAATGTCAATTCGACCAATATTCAGTATGGATTTGATATTAATTTAAAAGAGGACATTGTATCAATAGGTACGCGGATTTGCCCTTAATTATTTTTTATTATTACCATCTAACCTTTTATTATTCTGATTTTTATTTAGCTGGCCAAGATAATAAGGTTAGGTTTTTCTCTATAAATACAGGAAGAGCCATAAGACCTCCAATTGGACCATTTAAGGATAAAATACCCGCATTAAGATTTTGCACGTGGGATCCATCAATTTCCAATCCTAAATTGGATGAGAGGGGCGAAGGTATCTGGATTGCAGTTGGAGAAGAACTCCAATGGTGGAGCGTTTGAAACAAGTTTAGTTATCGCACATTAATTGATTAAAAATTTGTTGGAATTTTCTCGATGGGATTCTTACTGTGAAGCATTTATAATTGGTTATTTCATGTAAATAAAGTATGTATTTCGTTCGATTGCTGATAAATTTCTTATAAAAAACGCGTCTCGTAAATTAAAAGTGCGTTTCATAAATTACAATAAAAAACCCATATGCAAATTTATCTACGGCGTAAACAACTTAATCACTTTTAATATTAAACCACGTATTTTCTTAAACATAAATCATAGTTTTTTTTTTTTAAAAAAAAAAGGCACTTAATATATTCTTTCATTTGCCATTTATCATCGTTAAAAAAGAAAAGAAAAGGGGCGTGAATCATTACACATTTATATAATTAATGAATAAATTTAGGATAGCACGATCGTCTGATCATATTATTATCATGCTTGATTCGATAGAGGAGGAGATTTTTGTTATATAATAAAAAATGATTTTATTTGTTTTTATAATCAAAATGATTTTATTTGTTCTTATGGTCAAAATTATCATATTATTTCGGATAGGCATTTATCAATTTTCGAGGATCAATTAATTATAATCCCATTCAAATTTCTAGTTAATCATGATTTTCTGTTCATGATAATCGATCAAACATATATTTTATATTGTATGTCAATAAATTTATATGACTACAATGGATTTGAAACTTGAAACTCCGAGCATGCATTTTTTTTTTCTTTTTTTGTTTTTTTTTAAAAAAAAAAAGAAAAATAGCGTGCAATTGAAAGATCTAAGGATGTATGTATATTCCTGTCAAAGAAGTGCCTTCGAATTATTTATTATTGTCAAGAGTGATTTTATCCATTCGTTATTGGAAAACTTTCTTTTTTTCTAAAAAGATTTTTTTATTTTTATTTTGAGAAAAATGTATTTTTATTCTTTTTTTATTTTTATTTTTGCAAAGAAAAAAAAATTATTTTAAATAAGCGCGATAAAAAAAAAAAAAGAAGTTATTAATAACAAATTTTTCTATAAATAAAGTTTATTTTTTTTTTTTTAAAAAAAAAAAAAAAAAAAAAAATACAACGAAAAAAAGATGATGCAGAATGTTTTTTTCTTTTAATCGCGACCAACGATTCGTCAAAAGTGATTATTTTTTTTTTTATTTCCATTCTTCGAACATTCTTTTCATGATAACAGTGTAAAAACACACGGTTACATATTCTGTTAAATTTTTGATGTTTGCAATCTTGTATCTCAATACAAAGGTGATACTTGAATGAAACAATAACATATACATATCAAGAAAAATAACAATAACCTTTTATTAAAAAAGGTAAAAATTTTTTTTAACAATAACCTTTGTATCTTGATACAAGGATGTATTCCATTGCATGGAACAAGATTTCTTTTCACATATTCAAAGGAGGAAAGAAAAGAAATACCTTTGAACAAAAAGGTCACAAAAAGTCACATTAGTCTTTGTGTTGGTCTTGTTACAAAGGGTGTATTGTCTATCGACAATACCATAACACCATCAATGCTTTTATTCCGATACAAGGATGCGATTGATTTCTCTTTACAATACAATATTCCAATTCATATCTCAATACCTTTAAGGGTACAATAGTCTTTGCATTTATCACGATGTATTCAAAAAATTGAAAAAAATAAAAATAAAAAGCCTTTCAAAAATAATAACAAACACCCATGCGTGTGTAGTATTCAAAAAAATTCCATTCACTCCGAGAGAGGAAAAGGAAAAAAAAAACACCTTTGTGTATTCTAGCTGAAATGGTGATTCCCGGAACATCTTCAAAACCAATGATCTAACCTAAAAGAAATTTAATTTCAACATAGGGGTGGATCGGAAACAATTTATACCAAGAAACTATTCAAAGTAAATCATCTCTTTGCACATTCGACCGATCATCTTTCGTTATTTGATTTCTTTCTCTCGTTATTTTTAGTTAAATCTGTGTCACATCATAGTAAAAAAAAATAAAATGAAAATGAAAATAATACACCCGTAAGATATTTCTCCTTGTGGTAAAAATCAATTAATCATAAAATTAACTTTGTACAACGATATTAAATTAAATTATTTATTTATTTAGAAAACAAAAAAGACATGTGAGAAGAAGAAAAGAATCCAAGATCAGAAAAAAGAATCATAATGTGAGCATTATAAACACTTTGAAACCGTAAATGTACATTATATTCAAGGAGGGGAGGGAGGACTGTTATGGCAGAAGAAGTGAAGTTGGCAATAGAACGATTCTTGGAAGGAAATTTGCGCCAATAATATTTTCACGGTAATATTTACCAAACAAAGTTATATTAAATTTATGCTTAAAAGAATAAGTGATAAGAGTTGCATTAGCCTAAGGAGTAAATTATGCGCAATTTCAAACATTCGCGCGTGGTGTACGTTCAAGCATGTAATTAAATGATTGAAATCCGCATAAATGGTTCTCGTGGATCACGTGAACAAATTAACGTCACGTGCAGGCTCCAATGTTGTACGTATTACGTGTAATTTAGAATTTGTAAGAAGCCGAAATGGAAGCCCATGACAAATTGTTTTCCAGATTTGTGTATCTAAATAAGTATTAATGAAAATTTTTTTTTTTTCCTTTACCGTAAATTTTTCGTCGAGTATCACCGTGACTTTTTGATTAACCGTGATTCTATTTTAATTTTCAAAAATAGGTTAGTGTAAATAAAGGATGAAAAAATCACGTTGAAACGCAGTTTTATTATTTTTTTTTCCCTGATTGCTTGTAAACAATAGAAAATACCGGTTTATGACTCTAAAAGTATTAGGTGATTTTTTATTTTACTCAGCTTTATATCTTTATATGAGTCATTCAATCATTTTTTTTTTTTTTTTTTTTTTTTTAAAAAAAAAATTTTTTTTATCTATGGTTATTGGAAGCCTTACTATCATTTGGCGTTTGTAATTCGTTTTAGCCCATTTAAGTTATACCATAAATTCACCATATTATAATCTAGGATTCTTGATTACAATCACGTTCTTAATTTGCAATTGTATAAAAAAAAATACTTGATTAATTTGTTTAGATCACTCATTACAACAACAACAACAACAACAACAGCTTAAAATTCATCTTTTCCAAAAATTTATTAATTTGAATTTTATATTTATTTCCACAAAAAATATTTGTAAAATGTTATATTGTTTTACTCATTTGAGTAAATCTGCCCAAACGAAAAACCTAGGATTAGTTGATTGGTGATTGTGATCTGACCTTATATTTCAGATTTAGATAAATTGTATATCCATATCATCCGATTATACAATCAATGGACACCTGACTTTTTCTACGAACCTATCCGATGTTTTTACCTATGAATTTTTACCTTGTTCATCGAATTTAATACGAGATTTTTCGGTAGGTATCATACTACGCGAACCTCGCTAATGGAATAAATAATACACGTTTAAAATAAAGAAAAAAAAAAATTGTAAACTTTAGACTAGGATCGACGACTCCTGAAAGATTTAAATGGATTCATTAAATCAAACGCATGAACAAACAACCTTCTTTTATGGAAATAATTTTTTTTTTTTTGCTTTAAAAGAATTATTAAAGAATTATTAAAGAATTATTTTCTTTTTTCCCATTTAAAAATGGGCACCCTGCATTCGACAATTCAATGAAGCATTCATTTATGAATTTAAAGAAAAAAAAAAAAAAAGGGATCAATAGTTTCAATGTCCCAACATTAGTAAATAAATACTAGGGAATATATAAATTTGTCAAATTAAAGTTACTCATAATATTTCGTCATCAACTAATTTAATAAATGTAACAGGATTTTTGAATTGTCCACATGCTTTTTCCTTTTTATTTTTTTATATTGTATATTTGTCGGAGATTAGCCAATTGTACAACCAAAGTATGTCTGTTAATTAAACATACATAAATAAAGATTTAATATAATAACCTATTTTATTTTTTAATGTACAGTATTTATATTATCATCATCCATCACTTATATTATTGTATATTTGTATTGTATACATATATTTCTTTCATAAAACATAAATTAACATAAATACAATACAACCCATAAAAGATCATTTTTCTTACTTCCGTTTTCAAAAAAAAAAAATTATAAATTTTTTTTCTTTACTATTTTTTTTTTCTTTCCCTTTTTTAAAAATTATATACGTTTTATTCTTATCTTTTTTTATTCCTTTTTTTTTTTTATTCATATTTCTTACTGTAATTTTTTTTTTCTCTAATTCTTTTAGAATTGTTGCAACGCATAAACCTGCTTTTTAAAAAATTCTTTTTGGTTAGAAAAAAATTATATATAAATCTGTAAAACTTGTATCAATATTTTTTTAAAAAAAAAAAAAAATTTGTGCCTCTTTCTTTTTTTTTTTTTTTTTATAAATCAACTTTTTTGAATGTACCTTTAAACGTTCACATCTATCGTTCTCTCTGAGAAAAAAACAAAAATTTAAATAGAAAATACGTACATATTATTATATACATATACATAATTATACACATATATATATTATAAAAAAAAAAAAAAATTTTACAAAAAACATAAAAGAAAAAAAAAAAAAACTTTATCATGGCAGCGCCTAAATTTGATGAAAACGATGCGCTCGAATTCTCACCTTCGTTCAGATCGTCATTTGATTTGATTCAAGATGCCACATATATTCACCAAGATGAATTATCCTTCTCACAGTTAGATATAGCTTCTCCACACATGCCGCCACATCATTATCTGGCGGATTCAGAAGACGAGATGGAAGAGAGTGATATTGAACAAGATGATTACATCGACTTCCGTGAGTTCATCAATCACGATAATGATGATGATGACGATGACAGCGAAGATGATGACGGTAATGATAAAAATATATTAGAAGTTTTGAATAATAGACCCCCTTCAAGGTTAGGCAGACCACTTTCCCCCTCCCTTCGTAAGTCGACCAAGATTTCCAAGAGGAATGGTCCTTCGGTGGATAGAATAAAAATGGAAAATGCTTTTTTGAAAAATCAAAACAATAAACTCGCCCAAGAACTTGAGCAATGCAGGTTAACGATTCAAGCACTTAAAAACATTGTAGGTCAAAAAGATATAGCGTTGCAAAATGTTCGCGCCGAGAATCAACAAACGAATTTAAAAACTAAAGTGTTGGAGGCTTTATTATTAAGTAAACACGCTAAAGATGGTAGTATAATTATTAGAAGCGGTGGTAGTGATAATAATCTCAACAATCTTTCTTCAGTAACTTCCTTCCTACAAGAGAGAGATTCCCTGAAAAAAGAAATACCCCGTAAACCTGTACCACTAGCGTCGGACGCCCCCCATAACACCGCCACAATCACAACAAACTCCTTTGGTCTTGCAAACGGCGGCCGATGCTTCAGATGATAACGATTTGTTACCTCCCCCCCTTCCGCCAAAAAGACAAAATCGTCATATCAGGAGATGGTCAATGGATTTTGGACCGAATAATCGATTGGGGTGCGACGATGAATCATTGAACTTTGGCGACGGTAACGAAGCTTCGTTTGATGATCGTCATACGATGTTGCCACCGTCCACGTCGGTTACACCAACGTCATCCACCCTCACACCAACCAATGATCACGATCTACAACGCAGTATTCCACAGATTCCACGTCTCTTGAGACGACGAACGGGAGACATCATCCAATCACTGGCTTCATGTCGTCCTTCATCGACCAAGAATGGTTACGATTATTCCCCGCCATGCACCCCCTCTACTGACAGTAGCGATGAGAACGAATCGGTGATGGATGAAAAGTCGGCCAATAGAAAAAAGTCCGCTCGCAATTTATCAAGATTTCGTAAAATCTTTTTACGCTAATTAACGATTTAAACAGCTTCAATTCGCTTTTTTTTACTGTATTTTTTTTTTTTTTTTTCGTGAACGATTTTCCCGATTTTATCTTCGAAAGCGATGTAGTGGTAAAAAAAAACAAAAAGGCGAGCCAGTAATGTAAACTTTGATCGAACTACGCAACGATACGGAATACGGATTTGTTTTTATTTTTTTTTTTTCAATTTGTAAATAATGAACATATTGACCTTTGTATACCTCTGTTAGTAAGACTTTTGTTTTTTTTTTATTTCCTTCTTCCGACTTGCATTTTTAACTTTCACAATTTTTATACACAAAAAAATTTAATAATCTTAATCTTAATCCTTTTTCTTTCAAAAAAAAAATTTCATCACTTAATTAATTTTTTTTTTTGGATAAAAAGTTACAATCTACTATTTTTTTTTCTCTCACCACCTTAAAAACAATTATAGAATTTTTACTTAAACCTTCCCCTTATTATAACACGTACTAGTAATAATACTTTTGTATAAATCAACAACAAAAAAAGCACGATGAAAAAAAAAAAATATTGATTTTTTTTGTGTATATATGTAGATATTTTAAATTTTTTTTTTGTTTTTTAACTTAGTTTTTTTTTTTTTCCTTTTATTTTTTTTTTTTTTTTTTTTTTGAACCAAAAAAAAAAAACGAAAAGTTTATGGTATAATTCTTTTTAGGACATTATGGATTGATATGTTGGAGGAATATCGGTTTATGCGGCAATTTGAAATGAACATTTTTTTTTTGGGTTATGTTACGTTTGGGATTTTCTTTTATTTGTATTAGATAAGGTTTATGAAACAAAAGAGAGGTGTGCAAAGGGAAATAGTGCTGATAGCTTCCATAATTAAGCTCATTGGTAATCTTTTTTTGTCATAAATCAATTAGTAAATTAGTTATGTACACAAAAATGTATAGCTGGGAATTATAAAAAAATCATTTTTCAAGTTTGAAACTCCAAATTTCGAAGGTTTTGTCTGTGTGATGTATGATGTGATGTGCGGTGTTCGGAATATAATTGATTTTACACTATGCGCGTATATTTAACTTGCATGTTCAATGCTGCGCGAGGCAAATTCCAAAAGTCCGTGAACCATTTTTGCATACAACTTATGCAAATGTGATCTAGGAGATGTATAGTGAAGACGTGATTATTTTTATTTTTATCCCTTTATGGGTTGAATGCTTTTTTTTTTCAAATCAAAAAGTAATGCACATTTGTTCTACTAAAAAAAGGTTGTATCAAAGGCGATTAAAATGCGTTATATATGCAAGAAAAAAAAATGGAATCCATATGGTTGTGAATTTAGAATGTTGGAACGACGGATGCAAAAGAGAATTTTTTTTTTTCCTTATCATCCGTAAGATTGTATGGCGTGGGCATATTATCATTATTCATTATTCCAAATTAGATGCTTGGAATTCAGTGTTACTTATTATGACTTTTTCTAACTGAATACAATGATTTCATTGTGTAAAAAATTTTAATGGTCGTTTAAAATAGTAATCAATGATTTTTGATATGCAACAATAAAAAAATTTTTTTTTTGTCTTAAATTTATACTATTATTATTGATAAAAGATAAAAGCGGAAGAAATGTAACCAAATAAAATCAATTTTGCTTTATTGGTAAGAAGTAGGTGGAAGTAGTATCAGTAAATTCTGTTTCAAATTTTTTTTTTTTTTTGTTGTTTCAAAAAAAAAAAAAAAAAAAAAAAAAAGGTATATATTTTCTTTTGTTTCAAAATAAAATTTTTTTTTTCTTAAATCGATGACATGATTTAAAGGATAATGATCATATAGTTAAGGTTTCGAGACTAATATCGTTTTTAGTTGATTTACTCTATTTCATTAATTTTCATGTAATGGGAATATCTTTTAAATGAGAGCCATGTGATTAGATTTCGGTAATTTGCGGCAAATTTCAACCTTAAATTTCATTTAGGTTTAAAGTTTACATTGAGAATTTTTTCAATTGTGAATTTAAAATTACTCTTGATTGAAAAGATCTAATTTTTTTTTTATTATTTCCTTAGCATGTTTTTGATTATTTCATTTTGAATTTTCTTTCTAGGATTCATTTTGAAAAATATTTTTGTTAAGGATAAAGGGCGTCGTTTAACCAAAAAAAAAAAAAAAAACGTTCCGTATTTTTAATAGATTTTGATTTTGATTTTTTTTTTTTTTCAGAAAAGGGAGGAAAAAAACGGGTTTTTTCTGAAAAAAAAAAAAATTATTAGTCTGTTTCCCTCTCGTGTGACAAATTCTATTAAAAAAGATGACACACATAAAATACATATGTTGTACATGTATTTTATTTACAGTACACGTTTAAATTATTTGATCAAAGATTTCAAAAAAGGTTACATAAGGGGGGGACCAACTCGGATTTTTTTTTTTTTTTTATTTACTTATTTTTTGTTACCAAAAAAATCAAACGAATACCTGCAAATGCCTGCAAACCAGTTTTATTTTTTTTTTAATTTTTTTTTTTTTTTTTTTTTTTTTTTGCAAATCTATTTATGCATGGTCGAATGTTTTTTTAGGGAGGGAAAAAAAAAAAATAAAAATGGAAAGATAAAAAAAGAACGAAAATTACCCACGCTTAAATACCGTGTCACTCACGTTATCATCAAGCAGGCGAATGATTTTTCTTTCGCTGTCGTTATTTTTGTAAGGACATAAAAAAGGGGAATCGATTTCCTTTATTAGATTACAATAGTTCAAAAACTTCCCTTTTTCTCTTTCGTCTTAGCGGAGATCTACACGTGATTTCTGATAAGATGTTGAAGTACCTGAATGATTTGAATGATGAGAATGATAAAGAACAATTAGAAACCAATTGCCAACAATTGACATGTTTATAGCATGAGAAATTATTGATTGACATGTCCACATCTCGTAAGCGATATCCGTGCGTAAAATTAGCCTCGATCGTGAGTTTTGTTGACACATGAAACTTTATGAAACAAGTTCGACTTGTTGACGCAATGTCGCGTGAAATGTAGGTTTTCATCTTTTAGGCTAAAATAAAACATTTTAATTTTTATTTTTAGGCTATATATAAATTTATAGTATTGATTTGAACACGAGGAAAAAAAATAAACCGAAACGCGAATTGAAATCGATAACGATAATGAACGAGAATTAAGAAAAATTCAAAACAATGAAAGGTTGTCGGATATTGTCTTAATATCCAATTTCGGTTTTTGTGAACACCTTATGACCCATGACGATATTATGATCCTGATCCGTTTGAAATCACCATCCTTGGTTGTGTGATAGTGATCCTTCACGTCAGAGCATAATCAAACTGCCGGTTTCTTTGACTTCTCTCACCCAAAGGTTCACAAGTTTGCTTCGCGAAATCAAAAGGTTTCATTTCAAACATCTTTCGATGCATTTCGATAATTCTTGAGAAAACAAAATTAATTTGCGATTTATCGATTGATTTTTTCATAAAACGTCGTGCGTTTGCTAGAAATACTCAAGATGTTGGTCGGAAATTCCGACGCGTGTTTTAATGGATACTCTCAATTGCAACGCTCTTCATCATGAAAATTTCCTGTAAAATAGGTTGCTTTTAAAACGCGAAAGTGTTCCTTTAATATTTCGTAACCCTTTTTTTAAGATATCATGTGATCACGACGTGCTTTTTCTTAATGCTTTGCCCGATGATTTTAGCCAGGATTATAGATGAATTCGACAAAGTCACATGACGGAGCTGATGAAGTGGATAGAATAAGTTTTTATTTTTATTTATTTTTATTTTATTAATTATTATTTTTTTTACCTTTGTCTTTGTATTTATTTCACATTTAGAAAATTTTTTTTTATTTTTCGAATTCACAAATATCGATTGGTTCACATTTACACAAAATTTCTCGCGGCGTATCGTGATCTGCTGTGCCAAATTAAATCGTGCCCATTGGTTCTTTAAGACATGCGTTTAATGAAACAAAGAACAAACTATTTATATGATTTCTCTTGGGTTTGTTTATTCAAAAATAAAACCGAAGACGGGTAATATCAAGACAAAGCGTTTTATAACATCGATTATACTTAATACGTCATTGTACGTGTTAACGTAGTCATTTAATGACTACGCATAAATCTTACAAGAAATTCAAAGAATTTTTTTTTAAAAAAAAAAAATAAATGAATGCGCGGCTTTTTATTGCTCTTTTTTTTTTTTTTTTTTTTTTTTTTTTCTTTCAAACGGGGAGGGGAATCCAACTTTTGGATCCCAACTAAAAATGACAGCTCGATTTTGAATTCCGTCAAATTTCAACGTCCTTTCTTTTTTTTGTTGCTAATATGGGATTAAAATCACGTTACGGATCATATGATTTACTATGTTCGTAACTCGATTTTAATAGCAATCCTCCCATATTGTCCCATGTTTAAAAAATGATTGTTGGATTTTACAAAGTGTCCGTGATACTATTAAAAATATAGCATGAAAATTGATAACGTGCTTTACATAAACCATTAGTCCATTAACTTTATAATTCATTCATTTTTCTTTCTGGTGTTCGTTTTATTCACGTTGAAGATATAAATTTCCATTATAAGGATATTTAATGATGTCATCGGTTATTTATAAATTTCCATTCAAATCGATCAAATATAAAGATCATTTGAATAAAATAATTTGAACTTGTTAAGAAAAAAAAAAATAAAATAAAAATTTGCAACACTACAAAGTATGAAAGTACATTAACATTAACAAACTCTTTATATAAATATATTAATAAATCAAGTCCAAATTGATTTAGCTTAAATAATTTCCAAGAAAACTTATTTTCATGAACGATGATGCTAAAGGATTTGAAAAAAAAAAAAATGTTTGAAGAAATTGAAGACTTACTACGAGAAAAAATGAAAAGGATCTTATCGAGAAAGAATGTTGCATAGAAATTTATTAAGATTAATTTCGGTTTCTTGTGTTCTCAAAGCTTCAATGACTTGAATATCATCTCTCAATTCGGCTTGTTTATTTTTGATCCAACCTTCTCTTTCGTCTTCACTCAGAGAATTATATTCATCTACCACACGCGACACATCACTCTTCCAGTAATACGGATTGGTTCCATAATATCCTGGTGATGTCGCATTCATCAAGTAATTAAGATCATTCCTGAAATTGATATCACTGATGCATGGTAAACACGATATAATTATCTCTGATACACCCGACTCTTTCAACTTTAAAAGACTTTTTTTTTAATGTGAAAGTTGATTAGATCAAAAAAAAAAAAAAATCAATTGTTGAAAAATAAATATATTACTTTATTTTTCAAAAAAAAAATAAAAAAAAAAAATTATTACCAGATGGACTTTTCATCAGCACATTTAGAGCATACCAAGACTTTAAATTCCCAAAAACGTCTACGATTATTATCTTCAAGATCCTGACCACAATATTGACAATTATGACCTAAAAATCCTAACCAGATAAATTTTTGTTCAGTTAAACTATTGGGTAGCTTTATATTTGATTTTAAAAATTTCGATCTTGAATTACACCATATTTGTTGTGTATTTGTCGAATTCGACCATAATATAATCCTGAACTGTTTACAAACTAAGGATAACGTGTATAAATCTTTTGGATGTAAATTTTCGCAAATGTCCATGAATAATTCTTGTGGTAAACTTAAAAGTTGTGACGACGAATAGGTGGGTTTTTGCGTTGTTTCTTTTTCTTTGCTTGATGTTGTGTCTGTTAAGCCCATTTTGATTTCTTCTTTTACGCTTTGATTCTGCATCATTAATGTGTATATTTATATATTTATATATATATTTATTTATTTGATTTCTTCCTTCGTTGATTCAAAAAATTTGTTGTAAGCCTTGCTTTGGGTTAAAAAAAAGGTGATGATTTTCTGAAATATATTTAATGAATGACAACCAATCACGTAATTTTCAATAGTTGATCGTCGCGTTAATAAAAAAAATAATTTCGTCAAATAAAAAAGGTACGCCTTCGCCTTTTTAAAAAAAGAATTTTATTAATTTATTTGGTAATGCGAACATGTGATTGATTTTTGATCTGGTAACAAAAACTGGTGAGATAATACCAGTTTTGTCTTGATTTATTGTTCGCTTATAATACTTATATGTGCTTCTTCGATACGTTTCTAACAATACCAACCTTTCTTTTCTCTCTTTTTTTTTTAAAAGAAAGGAACTTAATGAGAATAAATATAGATTTGACTAAGAAATAAAAAAAATAAATAAAGTGATCCATAAAGATATTTAACACGATTTTTTGCGGGACCCAAGACTGAAAAGACTAATAATTTAAAAAAAAAATTTGAGATCTCTTACAAAAAAAAAAACATTTCAATTTTCTCTCTTTATTTTATTTTATTTTTTTTTTTCACTATAAAAAATATCACAACATCGAACCTCCGACCGATAAACTTTAGTTAATAATTACACCAAGTAACGTATTTATAGAAAGTTACATAGTAATTTGTTACGAATGATTATATAATTTCATGCTCATTTCGAATATATAAGGATCATTATTTTTCATCTCCCATATCAAACTTTATCATCAATCATGTCAAGTCGATCAAGTCGCCAAAGATCAACTTCATCTCATGCTAATTCTTCACCTTCTCATTCGCCTTCACCTACCTCCTCTTCAATACAAACATCATCATCATTTGTAAATCCTTGGATAAAAGAGGAACTTATAGCAATCCTCGATTATATCAATGATAACATTGCTGATTGGCTAGCCCATCCAAAACTTCTTTGCGAAAAAGCGATACAACAAAATATAATTGAACAAAGAAGCATTCAGGCCGTTTATCAAAAAGCTTATAATAGTATAAACGCGATGAGAATATGGTTAAAAAACAAAAAGAAAGGTCACGAATCAATTATCTGGAGTGACACACAGGTGAAAGTGTTGTTGGAGGAAGTTACAAGGAAAATTATTAAGGAGGAAATCGAGGATGAACGTGAGGCAAACGATGTCGAGTCAATCGACTCGGAAAAACAAGAGAGTTCGTCCGAAGAAAAGGATAAGGATATAAATTATGAAGAGGATAACGAGGAAGAGATGGATAACAAAGCAAATGAGGTGATGAATATTGAGTAAGCCCTTTATGTTCCTATTAAATCCTTTTGATGTCAAATTCAATGTTTAAATCTAACGATTAAAATCTCATTTTAGCGATTCTGATGTTTTTCCTGAAACAGATCCACCTTGTTTACCATTCTCCATTCCAATGTTGGATGAAATGTATAAAATCAAATTGAAAGATATCGACGATATGGATAGCGATGAATCAAAGGATTTGGCCAAAGAGGTTCTCAATAAGAAGTATAAAGAAATCCTCGAAATGATCCGTAATGTTTATATGAAACACGAAGAGATTGTCCGCTTAATCCATAAAACTGAAAATAAAATATTAGAGTTTAATAACGAAGATTGGTATTAAGGCCTTATGGAATGGAATTCTTAAATTTTAAGATGATAACTCATTCATCCGTTCTTTTTCCTTTGTATTCTTTTTTTTTTATTTTTTTAAAAAAAAAAAAAATTTGATTTACTTACGATGATGTATAGTAATAAACTGTAATATTAAATTTACCTGAGGTGAAATCCATGAAGGAGGCAACGTTGATAGAAAAACTTTGGAAAATTTTCTGTTTCGGGTATTCTTCCAGCACAAATGATTCACCACAAGTTGGTATGCCACTTTGTTTTGATTGTTTGTGATGCCTGATATATATATATATATATAGTATTCCTATTATCTAATTCAAATATAAAATCGTCAATTTTATATTCTCTAAATGAAAAATCATCTCACAGAAAAGTATGTGAATAAATGAAACCTTAAGAAGTTCTGTCACATTATTATCTTTTTCAACAAATGGATAATCTTCAGAGGTTTAAACCAACGATGTCTAAATGGGAAATATAATATATTAATTAATAAATCAGATCGAATATAAATTATAACTTCTATCTACCTGATATCATGAATAGCTATTCTTTTTATGGGATCAACGACAAGTATCGAAGACAAAAGATATTTGGCCTCAGGTGATAAAAATGAAGTATAAATACCAACCTAATATGCCGAAATAATTTTGTTACAATTTAAACCAGTGTTGGCATTTGGTCACGGCCAAGAGATTTTTTGGCAATTTGGCCGTGGCCAAATGGACAAAATGGCCAAACAGCCAAATTTCGGCCAAATAACAAATGTATTAATACTTGTAGGGTTTTATTGACGGCCAAATTGGCCAAACGGCCAATGGCTTACCTCGGCCAAATGACCAAAGACCGACACTGATTTAAACTGACTTTCCAGAATTCTTTGAAACAAAAGTAAATTAATATACCTTTAATTTTTTCATCAAAGCATAACATACAAAATGACACCCATCAACTTTGGGTTCTGTCATAAATGACTTTTGGTGCCGCGTAATTTGGACCGCAGCTCGTTTTCAAGAATTCATGATATTCGATAATCCATAATCCGTGATTTTTACATTTTAATAAGGATCCAAAAGAAGACTTTTCGAGATATATATGAAGAAAAAAAAAATTAACTCGTGTTTATAAGAACATTTTTTACAAAGATTTTTTAAATTTTACTTTTCAGGTTTTAAATCTCGGTGTGCAATCTTGTCTCGAAAATTTGCTGTAAGAATCTTCGAGAAACATCCGAGAGATAGTTTAAACGAATCCCTTAAGGGTCGATAAATATGTTTAATCCATTTATTCCTTCTAACGAATTAATTCTATTAATCTGGTAAATCATTGAAAGATAAAGAAGGTTATATGTATTTTTTTTTTTTAAAAAAAAAAAAATAATACTCCTCCAATTTTTGATAGTCGAACGCATTTTCTTTTCTACCTTCGAACAATTCATCCTTTATAAGCATTTTTTCTGATGTCAAGTTTCAGATAGCACAAGAAGACGATTTATTAGAACGGAAATATCAAGATTTTTGTATTATCAACAGATAATGATGTAGTTTGAGGAGTGGTATTCAAATATTATTTGAAAGATTATATTACTGAATCATGAAATTTTAGGCGGATTAAAACTTGGGTGTGTATATTCGACCTTTTTGGATTTAAAAAAAAAATTTAGAGGTTTGGATCAATTGACCTTTGTTCATCTAACATTAAAAAAAATCAATATGAATCTAACCCACTGTATAATTGGTAAGTTTGGCTGAGGATCCTTCGCTCCCAAGATATATTTACTCACTGCCAATAGTAAGCAGATGTCCAGGATTACAATGAACAAGTGATAAAATTCCTAAAATCTTGCTCAATACTTTATTATGTTCAAAAAACGAACAAGAGTTTTCTAATGACTTCAGAATTAGTCGTTTCGGAAGATGCCAATCTATTAAATCAATTGGTTCTTGGGCTGGATTTATGTCATTGTTATTATAATTTGAATTTTTTTTTTTTTATTAGCACAATATTAAATGAAAGTTTTATTCGTTGAATTTGAATCTGAAACAAGAAAAGTATGATCTGAGAAACAATATATATAATACCAAAATATATGTAATTAAGCATTCGAGTATATTTTTTGTGTAACATATTTTTTTTTGACAATTGCGGAAAAATCAATTTATTTTGGTATTGGTGGCAAGTGTATTTCCATTTCGTCAATTGGTTGAACAGGACAAAGTATTTGAATCACACAGAGAAAGCACACGTAAAAAGAGAGATTCTAATGTTAACTTTTCTAGATTCTTTTTCAAGTATTTATATTTAAAATATCGTGTTAAAATGATATATTGTAATAGAAAATACGCGAGATTATAAGTAACAGTTTCGATATCTGATATTTTGATGAAAATTTCTTTTTTTTTTTTTTCTTTTTTTCATGCATGTACAGAGGGTGATCACGGGTTTCCGAACGATAAGTATTTTTGTTTTTTTTTCTTTGTTTACATCATCTACGCGTTTATTTCTAATTTTAGTATTTATTTAGCATGTCGATCACAACAATAACAATAATTTTCAATAACTCTCTTTCG